TTTAAATCATACAATGACCAAAAGCAGGCAAACATGTATTCAATGCGGTTTCTTTTTATGTTCTCAGTGTAATGAATATTACGTCAAAATCTTTTGAATGCTCCCGGATGATTGCCAAAACCCATCATTTCTGCTGCCAATATTCCGGTAGTTTTCAAAATCTTCATTTCAGACGTTTAGGAATAGCACCTGACAAACAGAACAAATTCTTGGCCACTAGAGCCTCTCCTCGATCTGCTGATCTTTTATATCATAAAACCGTTTCATGTTGAAGTTTGGTAAAACATGAGACATGAAAGACCGCATCAAAAAGAGGCTGCAGAATTTCAACAAATCTGAGCTTGATTTTCATGGTAATCATTTATCCATGGTAATGATTTTCGGAGAATTAACTGTGTAAAATTTTTGGTAAGCGCTCACGAAAGGTTTTCTTCAAATTAAGATTTCAAAGATGGATCTCAACTCCAAGCTAAAAAATGTAACCAAGATGTAGAAAGATGTCAATTACAATACGGATACCGTTGCCCTTCTAAAATGACAGAATAAAATTTTACAGAAGTCAAGGAGTTAGTTCATCAGCTTTGTCCTTAGGAAGATTTTGAAGTTGGTAGTTCATCAGCTTTGTCCTTAGGAAGATTTTGAAGTTGGTTCTCCATCCCATTCAGTAGATCTTTGGAAAGCTCCAGGAAATCGAGGACAGGAAGTTTGAGTTCACAGTTGCGCGGTGATTGGAATGCGCTCCTGTTCGTGATTCTCAACGGTTTTCTTGGCATTTTCTAGCATCGAGTCGAGGCTCTTCATACGATCTTCTAGGGCAGCGAAGCGAGAAGAGTCGGGGTCCACATGCTTACGAGCATGACTAGCCTCGTCGTATTTCTCCTTCAGAATCGCTAGCTGTGCTCGAAGTGCCGGAAGTTGGAATTGTTCGACATTCTCGATATTCTCTTTAGTGGGTTCTCTGGATAGCAGATCAAAGATGGAATTCATCTTGGTGTTGGAGTGGTCTACTGCCCCACAAAGCAGATTCTCGTCCTCGATTTCAGATAACATCTTATTCAGTACGTCATCATACTGCTTCTCCATTTCTTCTGCGTCAAGGCCCATGAATAGAAGGTCGGTGTAGACGCTCTCATGAGGATCGAAAAGTTCAGCAAACTGTTGAAATTGACAAACTATGTAAGACTTCCTCTTCCCAGAAATAACATCGAAGTCTTTCTTAACGTCATTAGTAGATCTTCTTGGTTTTGCCAACACTTTGCCGAGTGACTTTCGCAATATGCCCAATTTAATTTCCGCTTCATCCCTGATTCGCACAAATGCATCCCACTTCTTAGCGCGTTCTTGCAAGACTGGGATCATGCTATGAGCAGGAGACAGGACTGCTTCGAGGTCTTGCACAGAAGGATGCGATTTTGGTGCATTCTGCAGAAG